TTTTTAAGTCTGGCCCTCGAGGTTCACTGTTCTGCAGAGTTTAGCTCCAAACCTGATCAATCTCACCTCCCAGTAATTTCCTAGTTATCCTGAAGATCTTGACTGGCTTGTTCATGTGGGTTTGATTCGGGTTGGAGCTAACTTCTATAGGTAGGACCAGAGTTGAGAGAACATAATGTACAGTCTTAAAAATAAAGGTTAAAAAAGTTTTTTTTCTCTTTTCTCCACAGCGATGCCATAGAAGAACAATTTTTGGTTCCTCAAAGAACCTTTCAGTCAGCTGTTTCTAAAAGAACCATTATTTTCATTCACTGCTTTGGGTGTGTGTGTGTGTGTGTGTGTGTGTGTGTGTGTGCGCGCTACTCACTGCCGTGTGTGTGGACTTAAATTGGGTTAAATGCAGAGCAAAAATTCTGAGTATGGGACACCATAATTGGCTATACGTCACGTCATAGAACCATAGATGCCAATAAAGAACCTTTGCGTAGATGGTCACAGGCTGCTTTCCACCTTTAGCTGGTTTGTTGCTGGTCCGAGATGTACTAACAGCTTGGAAAGTTGGGAAAAATTAGGCATGCTAGTTTTCCCTGCATGTCTTTCCAGATGAGTTAACCAACACTACCGCACATACATTCCTCTGTAAATCATTTCTTGAAAAACACCTTAAGAAGCTGCTGCTTTAATAAAGTTTACTACAGCTATGAATCATACTAATGAATCACTTCTGTAGTTCAGATGGTAGATGGTGCAACACCGTGGTCATAAGTTCAATTCCCAGAGAGCACATACTGGCAAAATGTATTCCTTGAATGATCTGGATAAAGCATCTGCTACATGCATAAATGTAAACTTCGTAATGTAGACATAAAAACAAAATGTGTCTAGATATGGTGTTAAGATATTCAGTGATTAAATACAGTTGAAGCATGTCTTCATATCCCTTTTGCTGTGATAATAATTAACCCTGATCTTCAAACTGACTGACCGACTCAGATATGATCAGAATGCAGGAAACGATTCTTACCTTCTGAGAGTTAAAGAGGCTGAAACAACGACAAGTGAAAGCAAAGTTTCCCTTTTCTTTCTTTCTTAGTTCCTCCACGGGTAATTCAGTTCCCCGGTGCTCTCACTGCAGTCGTCTGTCGTTCCTCTCTATGTTCCACACAGTTATGTGACTCTTTCTACATTCTGTGCAGCCTCATCTCTCGCTCTCTCTCTCTCTCTCTCTCTAGAAAGGTGGCATTTCTCCTTCCTGCCTTCCTACCTTCACTGTATCTTATCATTTGATAATCTGTCCTAATAGATTTCGAAATATACAGCTGTCAATGACACGCCTCCAGTAGAGATACAGCACGCCTCTGATCAAGCCTCCGCCTCCTGTTAGTAATTTCTGAATCAGCATCCTGCACTCACACAGGTGCTTGTACAAACATCTGTTAGCACACACACATGCACACGGTTACTTGGGTACACATATTTTTTTTTAGTGTTTGCTCATCTGCACTAGGGTAGACTGAGTAAATTTGAGACATGTGTACAGTTGAAACACCTTGAATAACTTGAGAGTGCACAGGAACCTCGCGCCGTGATTTTTGCTCCGCGCATGCGTATTAGCGTTCTCTTTGATCGTGAGAAATTTGAAAGGTGTGCATCTTTCCACTCCAAATGTCCCCACAAGTATAGTAATGCCAGTAAATTCTAACCATATGGGAAATTTTTTTTAGGTTCCCATGAGAAAAACCTGTGTGTGTTTGTGTGTGTTTGCGTGTGTGTTAGAGTTTGCAATGTAGTCAGTGAGTGGGCTTTATGTTTGTGCTATTCCTGTTACAGGATGCCCCGCGTCAGAATTAGGACCACGAATAGAGGAGTGCCAGCAGAGCTCTTAGAGAGGGCCTCGAAAGTAGTAGAGGAGGGGAGGTCAATTACGAACGTAGCTGAGGAGTTCCACATTCCTGTTGCTACACTGACCCGATATGTCAAAAGGAAGCAAGAGTTAGCTGAGCAGGGCTCAAGCATGTTGCCCTCAGTAGGGTACAAGGGCTCCAATGCGGTTTTTACTTCTGAACATGAGCTCAGCCTGGTATCCTGTGTCAGGAAAGCAGCAAGCTTATACTTTAGTCTACCCCCAAAAGAGGTAGGAATGCACTAAAAAGCACCAATAGGGAGAGACCAGGTTAAGCACAGTGACAAACAAGCCAGCATCACAGACACAACAGGGCCTGTATTCACAAAACATGTTATCTTACCACTAAGAGTTCTTCTAATAGCAGTAAAAGTTTTTAGCTAAGAGTTTTCTCTTAAAACCTATTCACAAAGCTGCTGAGACAAACTTTTACTAAGGAATAAAGAGAAGTCTTAAGCAAAGAGTAAGGGGGTGGGGTTGACCTCGTTGCTATGGATGGTGTCAGCATGCTCACTAACGATGCACACAGTGATTGGCTGATATTCTCTGTAAGAGATTTATTCATGGAAATATTGTAGAGCAGGTATTGCTGTATTCAAATAAAGGTTTAAAAATAAAAAATTTTAATTGCCACATTCAAATAAAGATTTTTAAAATGCAGGATAAGTGTCACTAATTAGACAAGTATATGTTCAGCTTATTGTCAGCCTCTTACATGTAATGCTTCTCAAAACAGTTAGCGGAAATGCATGTAAATAGCCTTTTAATTAACAGAGTAGAATAATCATGGCTGATACTGATAGTAATACATGCAAATGTAAAAAACAAACTGGACACAAGCACATATTTTACTTCTTGCCCAACTGGTTAATGAAAACAAGTATGTAATCAATTGACAATTTGGAGTTGGAGTAACCTTTTAAAAGGTCATTATCAAATGTTTCTAAAAATGTTTACGTTCCGAGGCAGATTGCCAGCAAATAGACATTTTAGGACAGTTTGTGGCTTGGTCTTAGTGACTTAGGAGTCCTCTTCACTACTCCTAATGTTTCACAGATTTAGAAGCTAGTTTTAGTGTTAAAACGCTTTGTGTAATTTCATACTTGTCTAGTATAAATATGTCGCCTTGATTCATAATTATAGTGTATACGTTTTTTCTTTATTTACCCTCAAAAATTGGAAGTTAAATGTGACAACACGCCCCGTAAGTGGGGTACATTGTAACATCTGAGGGGCACGTTGTAACATGACTGTATGACAGCTTAAAATGTTATCTCATATCATGAAAAAAATATACAAGACAAACAAAAAATATTTTGTCAATAAAATAAAATAATATTGTGTTATAATATATGACGTTTTTAAGAATTAAAAATAATCAGATTTTGGAGTTTTGACAATGACCACATTGCAATCATGCTTGGGACGGCCCACAAAAACTAGCCAAAATGCTTTTCATGTCTTGAAATAATAATTTCTGAACATTAAACATTGACTGTCAGTCTTTATTCACCTGCTTCTTGTCGTTTCTCATTAAAATGCGTTAAAGTAAATAGTGTAAACATCACTAATGTCATAGAATTGCATAGTTTAATAATGGCTGGGCACATTGTAACACAGTGTTACAACATACCCCATCTGCACAACTGGAATTTAAAACTGGTTAGTGTCTTCTGCTAGTTAGCGAAGCATTAAAGAACTATCTAAACTGATAAATAACAGATTGGAGATTAAAATAATAGCAGATTTGTCTCATTTTAAATGAGTAATAAAAACTGAGATGAAAAATTTACTTAAGCCAGAAATTTTATTTTACTCTGGTAAAATAAATGTTCAGCGATATCTTCAAAAGACTTATGCATTTTGGCGCACTTTTTTCTCTATATAATGCTGATATGGTAACTAGTAAATGCTGTAAATTTGGTTATGCTAGCATGTGTGGAAATATTTAAACCACGTGTGTTACAACTAACCCCACGTTACTGTGTGCCCCGCGCTCCCCTACTGTGTTTAAAAGATGATGGATACTTTTCATATTTAGAGTAGACTGAGTACAGTGTCTCTACGTTTTGCTTTTTTCATCATTACACAAAAACTAGATGCTGAAATTAAGTGATTGTTCACATTATATTTATTTTGCTTGTGTACTAAAATATCATGAATTGATAATTGATTTAGTCTGCTAAATGACTAAAAGTAAAGTAAAAGTATATGTATATGCATATGTGTGTGGCTGTACATACACATATGTAGTTGTTTTTTGGTGTTTGGTTTAGTGTTATGTTAGAATCATTATTATACTCATACCTTTTGTTCTTATAACATTTGTCATTTTTATTTAATTTCTTTTATTAAAGTAAAACTAAAGTAAAAGTAAAGTTATAGCCATAAGTAGTTTATATTTTCCACGATTAGCTCATAAACATAAGGTGCATTTTTGTCTCAACTGTACCCACATAGAGTACAGTTGAAACAGTACCAAGGTTGAGACACCCATTGCAAATGTAATAAATTAGTTGTGCATTTTTTTTACATTCAGATTTATTTATTTGCTTTATTTAATTCAGATTCAGTTAAACAAAATAGGAACAAAGTATTTAACACTGGAAAAGATATAGCAAACAGTACAAAATGTAAAGATAAGTTAACAAAATAACAATGGAAATAGTAATGTAAAACAACAAAAACAGAAAACAAAACTAATGGTCAGTGGTCACTCAAAGTGGTGGCATATGTAGCTCTGGCCACCAGGAGTACACTCTGCATGAGACCACATGCCACAGCTTGAACACGATACCCATTGCTCTCCCGGCCGGGACATAGAAAACCACTCGTTGCACACCAGACATTGGGTGTCTTCTGTGGTTTTCTTTTAGTTTTTCCTTCCCTCTTTTTTTTGTCTATTTTTTCACTTTTAAGGAGGGCCTTCTCTTCTCTTCAAGGTCCTCCTTTACAGGGGTATCAGTGAGAATATTACTGGTTCTTTTCCTCAAACATTCTCCTGGTGAACATACACACACTCACAAAGGTATGAAAATGTATTTTTCATCATTTGATGGCCAACAGGTCACCTGAAGTGAAATCAATTTATCTTACTTTAGTGGTGGTGACTTCCTCCTCTTGCAGTGAGAGAGGAACAGGAACTAAAGTGAGGGTTACTTCCTGAAGACCATCTGAATTTAGGGTCATTGTTGGCTCAGGAAGAGCCAGGGCACCAGTGGAAGGCCCAGGAAGGCGATATGAAGGTGGAGGTGGACAGCCCAGGAGGAGATATGAAGGTGGCAGTGGACGGCTCAGGAGCAGATAAGAAGGTGGAGGTGGACGGCCCAGGAGCAGATATGAAGGTGTAGGTGGATGGCCCAGGAGGAGATATGAAGGTGAAGGTGAAGGTGGACGGCTCAGGAGCAGATATGAAGGTGGAGGTGGACGGCTCAGGAGGAGATATGAAGGTGGAGGTGGACGGCCCAGGAGCAGAAATGGAGGTGGCGGTGGCCGGCCCAGGAGGAGATATGAAGGCAGCAGTGGACGGCTCAGGAGCAGATATGAAGGTGGAGGTGGACGGCGCAGGAGCAGATATGAAGGTGTAGGTGGATGGCCCAGAAGGAGATATGAAGGTGAAGGTGGACGGCCCAGGAGCAGATATGAAGGTGGAGGTGGACGGCCCAGGAGCAGATATGAAGGTGGAGGGGGATGGCCCAAGAGGAGATATGAAGGCAGCAGTGGATGGCCCAGGAAGAGATTTGAAGGTGGAGGAGGACGGCTCAGGAGCAGATATGAAGGTGGAGGTGAATGGCCAAGGAGCAGATGTGACGGTGGAGGTGGACGGCTCAGGAGCAGATATGAAGGTGGAGGTGAATGGCCAAGGAGCAGATGTGACGGTGGAGGTGGACGGCTCAGGAGCAGATATGAAGGTGGAGGTGAATGGCCAAGGAGCAGATGTGACGGTGGAGGTGGACGGCTCAGGAGCAGATATGAAGGTGGAGGTGGATGGCTCAGGAGCAGATATGAAGGTGGAGGTGAACAGCCCAGGAAGAGGTTCATCTGGAGGTGGTCTGTCAGTCACTGAAGCTGGAAGAAAGTCATCTTTGACATTTTGTGGTGATGCTCTCATCAGCAAGATGTTGTTGAGCAATTGTGGCAGGTCATAGATGGTGAGTGTTTCTCCTGGATTCTCCCGGTGCCACTTGTCCATCTCACAGCTGAAGTGTTTTTTAAGTGGCCCATACACAGTCTTGTCCAGTGGTTGCAGCTGGTGTGAGCAGTGTGGTGGAAACGATAACATAACCACACCATTTGCCCGATAGAAGTTTATGACTTCTATTGACTCATGGGAGGAGTGGTTGTCCAACAGGAGCAGGACTTTGTTTTCTTCTGTGGCCAGGGTGTTGGACAAAATGCTAGGAGAAAGACAACAAAGTCCTGCTCCTGCATCCATCCACTGCCAATTTCCTGTACCAATTAAACTCTCAGAGCCACCACGGATAAAATGTGGCAAGAACTTCTTTCGGAGGAAGACAAAATGTGGAGGGATAATGTTGCCAAGAGCATTGCCTGCCAGTGCCATGGTGATAAGAGCTCCCCTCTCAGCTGATGTCCCACTACCGACTCTTCGTTCTCCCTTTGTGGAAACAAGAAGGCCAGGATTTTGGACAGTCGTGAGACCGGTCTCGTCGACATTCCAAATGTCTTTGGCTTCAAAGCCATACCTTCTATAGACTGTGGCCAGATTGTTGAAGGTCTCCACATTTTTTTCATTAAAACTAGTTGATCTGGTTAAAGTCCTTACTAAGAGCTCTGCTGGCACTCCTCTATTCGTGGTCCTAATTCTGACGCGGGGCATCCTGTAACAGGAATAGCACAAACATAAAGCCCACTCACTGACTACATTGCAAACTCTAACAAACACGCAAGCACACACGCACACACACACACACACACAAACACACACACAGAGGTATTTCTAACATTATAGGGACATTACATAAGCGTAGTGGTTTTATACTGTACAGACAGTATATTTTATTCAATAACCCTACCCCTAAGCCTACCCATCACTTAAAACTTTCTTTGTTTTTACATTTTCAATCATTCTGTATGATGTATAAGCTTGTTTCCTCATGGGGACCGAACAAAATGTTCCCATAAGGTTAGAATTTACTGGCATTACTATACTTGTGCGGACATTTGCTAATACCAAATAATAGTAAGTGTACTGGTAATACGAGTAACCTATTATCATAACACTGTACAACTAAATAGCATGTGATGCAATAGGACACCATTCCGGGTCCAGTTGATACACTGCGTCTCAACCCTACCCCATTGACATACTCGCACGTTTCTCTAGATTATGCAAAGAGCTTGCAGGGCACAATGTCATAAAATATGTCTATTTTTAGAGCACAGAGTAACGTTTGCAATGATATAAATTAAGTTTAACAATCATAAAAGGATCATAAGCTAGTCATTGTGGAAGGGACATGGTGAAGTGAAAATCTTATCTTGTAAAAAAAACTTTTGCCGATATCTTCGGGGTGGAAATATGCACACCTTTCCAATTTCCCACGATTAAAGAGAACGCTAATACGCATGCGCGGAGCAAAAATCACGGTGCGAGGTTCCTGTGCACGCAAGTTATTTAAGGTGTTTCAACTGTACACATGTCTCAAATGTATTCAGTCTACCCTAGTGATTTTCCTATTTTCATGTATAATCTTAATGTGATTTCAATGGAAACATCCTTTTCTGGCAAGTACGTATATTTCATGACATTTGTGTTGTGATTTCTTCCAGTAATCTGTAGCCTCGTGATCAGGTTGTGTCAGTGCGTGCTGCTTTATGAGGGTCTCGGCAGGGAAATGACGTGTGTTGTGGTGGGATATGAGTGAGTCTGAGTGCAGTTTTAATGGATCTGGTATTTTAAGTAATCTTTTACATTAAACAGGATCAATGCGAACCGTTTTTGACTCAGGGCGGGTTGTGTACGTATAGCTGCCTGGGGAAATGATAGTTCATTATTCACGTTCTGAGGACGTACTAATTGTGTCATTTCACTCTGCTTACGGGTAATTGAAGAAACTATTTCATGCATTCTGATAACAAATGTAAACTCCATTCTGGAATTAAACGAAGGATGATTCCTAAAGCAACTTAATAGAAAATACTCATAACTAAGCGCATGCTGCTTTATCTCTTGCACTCTTTACGTGCATAGCTACATAATTATAGAAGTGTAAATGACACACACATACTTTAACTTATCCAGACACACCTATCAAACGTCCAATGTAATTCTATCAAATGTAATTCTATTTTCTTTCTTTTTTTTCCTTCTTTTTTTTAATCTCTGTAAACCTTTTTAGAAAAGTCATGGGAATGCTAACAGACTGTTTTCTCAAGGTAGGCTATTCGACTTCCTTGAATAAGCGCCATCTGTGGGACAGAAGTCATCCAGCCTTTCAGATTGGTGAACCAGCACTTTAAAAAAAAACATTACTTATTAAATGTTACAAGAGCTCAAGATTCACCCATGATCTGACATGCAGATGGCGCTCATGCCAGAAAGCTTTTTTTTTTTCTTTTTTTAATGTGATCTAGTACACAAACCTTACGAACTTATTAACTAGGGTGAATCCAGGTAAATTTGGACACTTTTGCCATTGAGATGACTGGGGAAAAATATATTTCTGTCTGTCTAAATGCCAAACGTTGCATGAAAATTGCATGAAATCTGCTGCATAAGAGTAAAGATGTTTGCATCCTTGTATGACTTCACGTTGCACGTGTGCCATCTGCTGGACTGAGACTTCACATAACATGTCACATCGCATCTCCATAATATATATATATATATATATATATATATATTGAAGTTCTGTCTGAAAAATAAAGATGTTTTATAATAATTATTCAGTCTGACGGTATGCATAAACATGTATATATATTACGATACGTTAATTTTAGTTTTAAGATAATCCTTCAAAAAGGCCATCCCTAATACTGTCTTAAATTAGTGCACATATTATACCATTGTCATTAGAAAAATAATTTGATATTAAAGACATATATAGAAGAAAGAACTTCCAAATTAAAAGCTCAGAAGATTCTTCAAATGTGAACATTATTGTGTCCTGAACAGAAAATCGGGACTCTGAAAATGTGTTTTTATTCTGTGAGAGAGTAAAAGCTCAATAGCAAGGCCCTTCATTATTTGAATTCATCACAGAAGTTGAAAAGATGCGTAGGTTTTAATTTCACGGTCACCAGCATTAGTATGAACAAACTTTCATTTTCAAATTGATTTGTTTTGTTGTACTTCCAGTTTACTACACAAAGAAAGGTATTTCCTATCCTTGTTATTGTCGTTTCACATTTCAAGTGTGATTGAATATTGGTTGAATCCAGGTAATTAGAGAAACTATATTTCATGCATTCTGATAACAAATGTTAACTCCAACCTGGAATTAAATAAAGGATCAATGATTTTGACTTAAAGCATTAATATATATATACCTCACGTTGCATGGGTGTCATCTGCTGGACAGAGAGTTACATAACATATCAGGTCATGTCTCCATACTGAGTCAATTCATACTATTGAACTATTATTATTTTCACATCCTCCGAATTATACTTATCAATTCTGTTTTTATTTTTATTATCATAAAAAATGAATAATTCAGAATAGGATTAGAATAGAATTCTATTTTAAAATGTTTTCTACGACAGCAACAGTAGTGTTTACGCTACATATAAAAAAATTTGATAATTGATACATCATGAAACATGTCATGTTTTTATTAGACAGACTATATGAAACAAAGCGATAAATCCTTTTGAGTTGATCACTTAAAAGCGACAGAGGAAAATGAAATAAATGCCTGTAAATACTTTGATTACACTGAAGCAAAATCAAATTAGCAAATCAGATCTGCTTTCATAAATGTAATGTTAAATATTTACTTGTTTTTATGTGCATTTGGCATTTTGTCAGTTTTAAAAGCAACAGCTTTAAATTGGTGAACATTCTCAGTTATATGTTTTGCCAGCTCAAAGTTTTGATCGATTGCTCTCGTCATTGCATCATACATTGAGTCAGCGTCTCCTGCTGCTTCCCATCCAATGATGGCTCCTCCAACAGCTCCTACAGCCGGAGCTCCAAGAACGACACCTGCAGCTACTTGCCCCAGTGTCACTGCTGCCCCTGCTGTCACTCCTCCTGTAACTCCTCCGCCCACAGGGATTGTTACTATTTCCATTCCTTTACTTAGTGCAGTGTCTATGAATCTTTGCGTCTGTGGTGGAATGTTTGGGCTTGCAAGAACAAGAATCACGACTGAGGTCACCAGTACTACAATGGCCAGACAGCCTCCAGTCACCGCCCCTGCCATCGCTCCGACAATCTTACGTGACACATTGGCTATTGGAAGCAGACACACAAGATTTTATAGTCAAGTCACCTTTATTTCTATAACACTTTAGGCAATACAGATTATGTTAAAGCAGCTTCACAGCCATAAATAGGACAATTCAGCAGTTCTATCATGTTGAAAATTGCCTATTTTAAGCTGCCAATTAATAAACAGTAAAACAAAATTCAATCTTTGCTAATGATCTATAATGTGTTTATGGAAGCAATGCCTTAGCAAAAATGTGTCAGGCTAGGTGATGTTTTAACAAACCTCCCATTATCCTTCTCTGTTGTTGATGTTGGCGTCTGTAATAAAAGTAATATTCAAAAAGGTTAGGTTCAAAGTTATTCAAAATCCTGGATACTTATTTATATCCAGACTCATTCATGGATGTTTGTATATTTGTGCTTGTCTATTAAATTAGGGCGTCAAAATAACACTTTATTAGTAAAAGGTGGCAATTTACTGCCCTGAATAGATAGATGCCTTTCAGTTTTGACTAGAAAATACATTTTTAACCAATGGAGAAAAAAAAAAGTTAGAATGGAAGATTAGCGGGGCATGTTGTCACACTGAGGTAAGTTACAATGAAAAGCTTAAGAAAAATGTAAACAGTAAAACAATTAGGAATAACAAAACAATTAAAGAATCGTTTTGTTCTCAATGATGAGGTGCTTAGGATTGTTTATGTCCTTCAATTGACACATCCTTTTGATATTTCGAGTATAAATTAATACATGAAATACGTAAGAATGTTAGGACTGCAGTAATACAGTTCAATTCAGCTTTACAACTGGAGTACATTGCCAAAAAAAATTGTCTGTTTATTTTTTTGTTAGGCTGTGTATTACTTTTGGACATAGATTAAACTTTTTTTTTTTTTTAAAGCCATGTAGGCCTATGAGAAAGAAATCGTGAAAATTACATAAATACAAATATACAAAAATTGTGACCAAATATAATATTTTAGTGATAGATAAAATAAACAAGGACACACTACTTACATCCACTTGCGAACTCTGTCTGTTGACACTCTTTGACTGTTGGCTAAGTTGAAATATCAAGCAAGAGACAGAATGAAGACTGCAGACAGCAAGGGGAGTTTCACATTCATCAACACTATGAGCTATGCATATATACTGTATATTATACATACACCTTTACTGAACACTTTCATTTTCATGTTCCACAAATATGTTGTTAAACCTGCGTAGACTTGCCCTATTGTCAATCCAGAATCCAAAGCATATGTAAGTATTTAATACGTTTATCATGTATTCTGTTGCACCACCATCAAGTGGACAGGTTGTTGATGTATGATCTACAGTAGCTTTCATTTTCTTCTTATATAAGCCTATTGGAAAATAACTTTCAGTATCAAGTTAATACTTTTCTAATCAGTAACCACAACCAACAAACACAGTCCCCAACATGAACTAAAATTGTGTAAGTGATTAAATAAAGTCAAAGGAGGGGATGTGTCAGTGTGCTGAAGAAACTGTGTGGCAACAGCTCCTCATATAATAAACTGACTGCCTGTCCACTAATCTACAAAATGCTGGACATTAATTATATTCATTTTCTCTGCTATTTGGACACTACTTAATTTCTGCTATCTGCAAATGTAGACTCTAAAAGTCAGATGATATGATCATATGTTTGACCTATATTGGCATACGAGCTTCCTCCTGCTACTGTTTCTCATTCCCATGTGTGATTTTTGTTAAAGAGGAAAAAAGCCCTAACACATCTAGCCAAAGACTACGGAAGTTCTAAGCGGCCATGCATTATAATTTTTTTCCTTCTTGTTTTCTCATTATAACGACTTAATTTTCTCGTTATATCGACATAACGAGAGTTGTTTTCTCGTTATAACGACTTAATTTTCTCGTTATATCGACATAACGAGAGTTGTTTTCTCGTTATAACGACTTAATTTTCTCGTTATATCGACATAACGAGAGTTGTTTTCTCGTTATAACGACTTAATTTTCTCGTTATATCGACATAACGAGAGTTGTTTTCTC